GAACGCACACCGATGCCGCTGCTCGCCACCACGACCGCACTATCCTCGAAGCTCGGGTGTCCTGGCGGGCCCTCGTCGCCCCGGCTGGCGTATCGTCTAGATGTTGGGCCACGGCGCTTCCCGGGAGAGGTCCGAGGAGGGTACCGGTACCTCTGCTGTCGTGCCCCCCGCAGCCCTGGCCGCTCGGAGAGGAGATGCTGGCGGTGGGCCTGTGGAAGGAGGAGGCGCGGCGCCGCGCCGACGATGCCATCGTGTCGCCCAGCGTGTTGTCCCTCGATGTCGGTACTCGGGGGCCCTTCCCACACATCCGGGAGTGGCAGCTGTTTGGCATCGGGCGTTTTCGCCCGGTTGCGGGCGGCGGGGCCCTCACAGATCGATCCGGCTCGAAAAGCTGAGCGGAAGGACGGGGACTAGGGCTGCGGCCGTGTTTTCTGCGCTGCTGCAATTTTCTGCAACGTCGGATCGCAGGGCTTCCCTGGGCCCTGGGGCCATCAAACATAGGTCTGGGACGAGCAGTTATCACCACCCACCAGACCACCCCAACCCAACCCGAAGGACCCAATTTGCCCTCCACTCTCAGTTGGGGGGCGTCGGGGAATATCGAAAGAGCACATGTGGAACCCCTTCCCCCCCAAAACCCGAAATTCGGGTCTTCGGCTTGGTTTGGGGTGGTTTCCCAGACATGCGACGTCCTGATTCTATCGGTGCGTGGTCCCTGGAAGTCCCGACCCCTTCCCCCATACTGGCTTTTCATCCTGAGTCATGTTTCGACAGTCCTGCTGCGGGGCCTGGCTAGACTTACGTGTTGGGCGTGTCCCTCTACAGGGGGAATGCTCAAAAATAGTATCAAAATTGTCTGGGAACCATTTTTTGACTATGTTTGAATCTTTGGGGGGTACTTTTGGGGTATTTCTCATTTTTCGCCTAAAATCCCCCTGTAGAGGGACACAGCCCGACTTGAAGCTAGAGCGTAAAGGGGGGGGGCGAGGAACGGGGCGGGGGGGCAGGGCGAGGGCTGCAGAACAGGGGCCCTCCGGTGCCCCTCAATGGGGCCTTTTGCCGAGCATCTTCTTCGGATGGATCGGGGGCCCCCAAACGGGGTGGTGACCACACCGTGCGGTGAGTCGGTGGGGATTCGGAGTCACCGCACGGTTTTGGGACTCGGGTCGTTCTCCGAGGACGTCTCGGGCGACAGGGGCCTCCGAGGTCCCAAGCCCGTGCGGTGACGGACCGTGCGGTGAGGTCTTGGGGGATTTCGAGGTCACCGCACGGTCTGTCACCGCACCGTTTCGGGACTCCCACGTGGAGGGCAGAGGGTGAAATCTGAAATGCCGTCTCGATGGATTTGCATGGTTTGAAGATGTAAAGGGTGGATCACAAGACGGACTGATTTGTGAGGCGCAAAAGCCCATACTGATTTCACCCTGAGCCCTTCCTCTACCCTGGAAGCATGCTCAGTTTTGGGGCCCCAGAGGGGACCTTCAGGGCCTGAACAGGGCACCGCCCTTCCCCCAGTTGCAAAGCCCCGACATCATGATCGTTTCGCAACGTCGATGAGCGGATCTCTCGACCCTTTCCACGGGACCGGTTTTTCATCCTGAGTCGTTTTTCACGGCCCCGGGGCTGGGTAACCGATGTCCTCGCCGCCGCGGTTGAGACAGACGGCCGCCTGCCCAACAGCGGCCGCTGCTGATTTTTGACAATATGTGTTTTTGGGCATCGTACAAATTTTCTCCGTATCCATTTCGGGCGTCCAATGTCTAGGACGGAGTCCGAGCAGATGGGGTCGAAGGATCGCGCCGCATCGCCGATTCATCGGAGATGCAGCTCGGTGTGGAGCCAGACTAGTGTGTGCAGCGGGAGCTCGCGTCAAATTCCAGACTGGGTCTTTTCATGTTCATGATGGCCCCGTCAGGCCAACCCGAGTCCCCCAACCCGAGTCTTACGCCTCCCCGACACTGCATCGCCGATGCGTCGGCGATGCATCGGTGATGCGGCGGCGATCCTCCGACCCCATCTGCTCGGACCCAAATTGGGAGGCGTCTTGTGAAGGGGCCCCATATGTTCCCATATTCTCTGTGTTTTCCCCAAATGTTCCCATATTTTCTGTGTTTTTTGTCTTCTCCCCACTTCCCATATTGTCCCATATTCTCTGGGGCATCGACGATAAATTGTGTCTGTGTGGTTTTTTTCCTCCTGATCTTGAGAGGGTTCCACGTGATGAAAGGATCGCGACGCCAAGGATCTGGAGCCAGAGGCGGGGTGCACGGTCAGGAGCGGCTGCGTGTCGCGCCGCCGGCTCTGGCGTCGCGACGCGCTGACCACGTCCCCATTCCCCGGGACATGAGCGCTCGGCCACGCGTAGGGGGGGGAGCAGGAGGAGGAGGGAGGAGGAGGAGCAGGAGGAGGAGGGAGGAGGGAGGAGGAGGAGGAGGAGGAGGAGGAGGAGGAGGAGGAGGAGGAGGAGGGGGGTGAAGGCTTCCAAGGAGCAGCCTCCTTCTAAGAAGCCTCCCCCCCTCCCCTACCCCCTTGCGCGCGCCGCCACAGACATGTGACGCACTGGAGAGATCAGGGTGGAGCCTCTTCGCCGTTTTCTCAGCAGGGGGAGCAGTTGCCCATGCCGCTACCATTCCCTCGCTTTCCCCCTGTTGGGCCTCTTGGGATCTTCGCGTCGTCACCGCTGGATTCGCTTCGAAATCTTGGCGAGAACGCACCCCGGGAGAGGTCTGGGGCAGTCGCGGTATCCGTACGTGTTGGTTTCCCCAGTTTCGGCCCGAATTGCGCGGACTCGCGGGGCCCCGTGGGGCCGTCAGCGTCAGCGGGTCGGGGCTAGGGTCAAGTCGGGCCTGTCCCTCTACAGGGGGAATATGCAAAAATAGTCCAGGAATAGTCTGGGGACAATCTTGTGAGTATTTTTTTTGAGGGGGGGGCCGAAATCCCCCTGTAGGGGGACAGGCCCGACCTAGGACTAGGGCGGGACCTTGGGGGGCCCCTCATTGGGAGGTCCACCGGCCAGCAGGTGCCCCGCGTTCATGCCGCATCCCCTGATGGCGCCAGGGGCCCACGTTAGCTCTGGGGCACCTCAGGTCACTTCACGGTCGAGGGGGAGGAGGAGGAGGAGGAGGAGGAGGAGGAGGAGGAGGAGTAGGAGGAGGAGGAGGAGGAGGAGGAGGAGGAGAGGAGGAGGAGGAGGAGGAGGAGGAGGAGGAAGAGGGGAGGAGGAGGAGGAGGAGAGAGGAGGAGGAGGAGGAGGAGGAGGAGGGAGGAGGAGGAGAGGAGGAGGAGGAGGAGGAGGAGGAGGAGGAGGAGGAGGAGGAGGAGGAGGAGGAGGAGGAGGAGGAGGAGGGAGGAGGAGGAGTGAGGAGGAGGAGGAGGAGAGGAGGAGGGAGGGAGGAGGAGGAGGAGGAGGAGGAGGAGGAGGAGGAGGAGGAGGAGGAGGAGGAGGAGGAGGAGGAGGAGGAGGAGGAGGAGGAGGAGGAAGGAGGAGGAGGAGGAGGAGGAGGAGAGGAGGGGAGGAGGAGGGGGGGGGACGGAGGAGGAGGGAGGAGGAGAGGAGGGAGAGGAGGAGGGGAGGGGGGGGGGGGGGGAGGAGGAGGAGGGAGGAGGGAGGAGGGAGGAGGGCTCCCTCGCGCGCCCTCGCCCGAAGTCCCTCCCTTCGCGGCGGCCGGGGGCCCCGCCGTCTGCTCGGTCGGGCCGCCCGTTCGGCCCCTCTCGCCGCAGACCGCAGACAGAGCAGTGTGCCTCAATAGTTCTTGTAGCAACATGTCTTGCCAGGACTCGCTGGGACGAGGGGGTGACTCGCTCTCGAGGTTCGGAGCCCCGTGCTCGGTCCTGATCGGGGGGACTGCACGCTACCCATTGTGAGATCACGCCCTGTGGCGCGACAGCGAGGCACTCGTGACTTGTCAGCTCTCGAGGGCAGTATACATACCTTATCACTGGCTAGCGAACATGACACGGAATGACCCTTCATGCTGCCCCATGAAAACATCGACAGATGATCCTTATCGTCATTGTCAAGCTGTATTGGGCAGATTAGAGCACCAAGCCCCCAGCCCGGCTTCGCTCCATGCCGGCCCAGGTGGCCCTTCCCGGCCCCAAGGCCGTGGCCGTGACAACCATCGGGGCCCTCGCGAGTGCCCAAAGAATTGTGAAGTCGAACCTCGAGATAAGGGTGTCGGAGTCTTGCCGCAAGGGGCGATCTTGCCTCGTTTCCAGCCCCGAGGCCCTCACGAATCGATCCGGCTCGAGCGCGCCGCAGAAAGATGGGGTCCAGGGCTCCGGCCGAATTTTCCAACTCGTTGAATTGTTTCGTGATGCCATATCTCAGGGCAGAGGAGGAGGAGGAGGAGGAGGAGGAGGAGGAGGAGGAGGGTGAGGGGGAGGAGGAGAAGGCCCGGTCGAGCACGCTCTCCTTCCCGGACGCGAGGCGCCCTTCTGGCACGCGCCCGTCACCCTGCTGGCGCTCTGCGCCGAGACCCGCCTGGAGCTCTTCGACCTCGCGGCGCTCCGCAGCGACACCACGGGCGCCTGGCCCGCCGCGGCGGGGCGTGTGCGCGCGCTGCTGTCGAACCCGCAGATACTGAAGGCCCCCCCGCGCTTGTCAGGCGATCGCAAACATGGGATTGAGGGGGCGTGGATTAGTGACGGGCACCGTTTCCACTGGAAATCGTGGATTTCCGCTGCCGAGCGAGGCGTAACCGGCCGCACTTCGGGGAGAGTGCCTCCATCGATCCATGTTTGCGCGGCCTGGAGCTTGGGAAAGTTGGCCGATCCTGAGATCGGGGTTGACCCGTCGTCGTCGTCGTCGTCGTCGTCGTCGTCGTCGTCGTCGTCGTCGACGTCGACGTCGACCGTCGTCGTCGTTTGTCGTTGTCGTTGTCGTCGTCATCGTCGTCGTCTCGTGGAACCGGGGGATGCTGAAGGCCTCCTCGGCGCGATGCCGAAATACCGTCGAGAAGCAAGGGGGGTTTTCGTCAGTTCTCGGAGGTCTCCGAGCTTAAGGAGGCTTTCCAGCAGCTGCGCCTCGCCGAGAGAGTTCCAGGGGTGCCCAGATCGTCCCGACCATCCGCCTGAGAGTCGAGCTATGATCCGAAAACCTCAGCGGGTCGACCCGCCATCAGGTCCTGGCGTCGCACTGTCTGTCACAGCGGGCGACGTTGCCTTGCTTCGGGCCCCATCACGGACCGATTCGGCTCGACAAATGCGGCAGGAAGATGGGGTCCAGGACTTTGGTGGCAAGTTTGCCTGGCGCTGCATGCTTCTGGCGTCGCGGATGCTGAAAGCCTCCCCGCATTCGCGCCGGAGCCGTCTTGGAGTGCCTAGGAACGGCTAATCCCAAGACGGCGCCAGCGCGAATCGTGACGTAACCTGAAGTCGGGCCTGTCCCCCTACAGGGGTATTTTCGACGAAAAATAAAAAATACAAAAAATAGTCAAAAAATATTCAAAGAATAGTCTGGGGACTATTTTTGGAGCATGTTTGACCTTTTTGGGGCATTGTTGGGGTATGTTTTATTTTTCGTCGAAAATCCCCCTGTAGGGGGACACGCCCGACATAATACAAGATCGAGGTCGGTTCGGGGAGGGTCTGCTAATGTTTCCCGTGCTTGTTGGGTGTGATTGTGCATCCTGGGGAGGCTAACCTCAGGCAGTTGATAAGACCCCCAGGGTTGTACGCAGCACCGCGCCCGTAGTGATGTGTTTCAGGTTGGAGTTTAGCCGAACGATAACTTTAGCACCGCGCCAAAGAGCAAGCCAAAGTTATTGTCCTCATCCTCTTCATCCTCATCATCGTCATCGCCATCATCAGCATCATCATAATCGTCAGCATCATCATCACCACCAGCATCGTCACCATTACCATCACCATCACCATCATCATCATCATCATCATCATCATCATCATCAGCATCATCAGCATCATCATAGTAATCGTCATCATCATCATCATCACCATCACCATCACCATCACCATCACCATCATCATCATCATCATCATCATCAGCATCATCATCATCATCATCATCGTCATCATCATCGTCATCGTCATCGTCATCGTCATCGTCATCGTCATCGTCATCGTCATCAGGTGCCTGGATATCGCATCCTTGTGCGGAAGTTTTATCTTTTTGCCAAAAGGGGTGTTTCTTATTAACTGCATGAGGTTATCCTTGGATGTTCTGTGAGTTTTGGCCGGCGGAGGGTCTCATGTTCTTGATGGATGTTCTTCTGGCCCAGGTCCGCTTGTAGCCTTCGGGGAGCCCCCTCGTTGCCACGAACGGTTGGGCTTGGCTCGGGAAGGTGCGCTTGGCCCCGATGCGGGGTCCAGGGGCCGATTTTCCGAGAGAGGGGGTTCCTGGCGGAATTCGGGCGCTCTTCGGGTGTTCCCTGAGATCCCGGCGTTGCATTGTTTTCTCGCGACGGGCGACGTTGCTGTGTTCCAGGCCCCAGGACCCTCGGTGATCGGTCCAGCGCTCCGGTCGAGTGGTTCTGTCTTGTAGTTCCCGTCAACGCGCCTAGTAAGGACGCGCGCCTGCCTCTATAGGGTACCCCTGTGTCCTTGCCTCGTCGGCCCGGCCTGTGTCGTGTGCACTGGTCGCCCGCCGCCCCCAAAAACTCCAAACTTTGGCTTCCAGGGGTCCTGCGTCCTTGCCCACCCGTCCTGCACGCGCCACGCGCGTGTTGACTGTGCAGTGTCAAGCTTTGTTCGTGATGTCGGAGCCGAGGGTCTGTGCCTCCTTGCTGGCTTCCTGGAGGCCTTCCCGCCTCGAGGGGTGGTGCTCTCCGGCAGCTCTGCTTCGCGCCGCCAGAGTTCCGGGGATGCCCATGGATCGCCCCGAGCGGCCGCGGCAGGCCAGAGTAATGGCCCGGAAGCCAGCTTGACGGCGATATATCTTCGACCCCACGTGAGAGTGACCCTTCGCCTCGCCAGAGTGACCTTTGGTGCGGGCCCCATGGGGTCCCCCGATCGCTGGAGGTGATGCGGTAGCAGCGGCCTGCGCGCCCGGGTTTTTGGCCACCCCGCGTCCCCCGTGAGGTCGCGCACCAAAGGGCACTCCTGCCCAGGGTCACTCTTACGTTTCGCCGATCATTGTTTCGATCTGGGCGTCTTTCCTCGATCTCGGCGTGTGGGGCCCGTGCTCGAGCCCTGGAGCCATCAAAGACGGGTCCTCAACGAAAAGACACATCCGCGGGGAAAGCGGCCGGGACTCCTGGGCCGCGCGTCGAACAATGAATCGCAACGTCGGTTTGTTTCCACCAGGACATCTTTTTCAGTATCGTCTACAGTCAACCCGCATGATGAGGACGGGCAACCTTCCCAAGGGTACCCTTGCATCCTTGCCTCCTCGGTCCATCCTTGGCCGCTTTCGCTGGCCGCGCACCGCTCGCAAAGTGTCAACAATGCCTTCCAAGGCCCTTGCATCCTTATCGTGCATCCTTATGATACGGATCGACTGCAACCGACCCCCATCCCCACTGACAGGGCCAGTGTGTGTCTCAGCCCTGCAAGCCTGCCCCTCGGGTGGGGATGTATGTATGTATGTATCTACATATATATATACATATATATATATACATAGATATAAGAAATTCCCACCTGGGTGGGTAAGCCAGCCAGCTGGACAGCCACTCGAGCGGATTAGGACCAATCAAGTAAAGGATGCTTCTTTTTCTCGTGGCGACGGGTGTCGAAGACGACAGACAAGACGCCATGAGCAGGAACTTCTGGCGCTGGGCGCCAGCAGTTTATATCTATGCCGCTTGCCCTCCCTCGGAGGTGGTCTGCGGCGAGGACCCGGGACGAGCAAACCGTGGCGCACCGACGCCGCCCGGAGCGGGCCGAATGGCGCCGGGCAGAACGGCGGTGCGGTGCCGCTCGGCCCCGGGCGGGCGGGCGAGAGGCAGAGGCACCGCACCGCCAGAGGCCCCGCGGCCACGGTGCACACGTGGAAGCAAACCCGTGCCTGGCGGCGGGGGAGGATGGATTTTTCTCCTCCTCCTCCTCCTCCTCCTCCTCCTCCTCCTCCTCCTCCTCCTCCTCCTCCTCCTCCTCCTCCTCCTCTCCTCCTCCTCCTCCTCCTCCTCCTCCTCCTCCTCCTCCTCCTCCGCCGCAAAAAAAACGACTCCACGAAGGAGTGACCCTTCGCCGGAGTGACCTTTGGTGCGGGCCCCACGGGGCCCCCCGATCGCCGAGCGCGAAGCGGCAGCGGCGGCCTGCGCGCCCGGGTTTGTGGCCACCCCGCGGCCCTCGCGAGAAGCCGCGCGCCGAAGGTCGCTCCTGCCCAGGGTCACTCTTGGCGTGTGGTCGGAGATCGGGCTGGGCGAAAGGGGGGGATTGGGAAAGGGGGGGTTACGAAATCTGCTGCGTGCGGCTGATTTCGGCCCCACCGAGGGGCCCATTCTTCGATACATAGCCGCCTCCGGCGCTGGGAGGCGCCGGGAAAATCAGCTACGCGAGCTGATTCTCACCCCCCCCTTTGCTATCCCCCCCTTTCGCCCGGCCCGAGAAGAACTTGCAGCATCGCAGCAGAGTCATGACCATAGCCTTCTGGTAGGTTCGCGTCGTGTCGACAGGCAGCGGCCCCGCCGCCGGTGCTCCACGTGGATCGCCGCTGTCGGCCCAGAATCGCGGCCGATGCTGAACGATGTGATGTGTCGGAAGCGGCCGATCGCTCCAGGTCGAGCGATGCCCGCGATGTCAGGAACCCACGCCGAAGGCGGCACGACACGAATATGCCGGAGGCCCCATCCTCCTGCGCCGTTCTTAGAGATCCGATGTCTGGATGTTGCATCGGGGTCCCCGGAAGTCTCGACCCATTCCCCAAGACCGGTTTTGCATGTCAAGTTGTTTTTTGACAGTCTTGGGGCCCAGCGACGGCCCCCAGATGCGCCACCCCCGCTTTGGACGCCGTCCTCTGGGACGCTCCCGAAAAACAGAGAAACACCTCCGTATTCAGTTTTCAATACGTTGGATGAACTCTGAGTTTCCCGAGCTGCGTCGATCTATGTGAGGTGCCCCGGGCCCGAAGCCAGGCTTAAGTCGGGCCTGTCCCTCTACATGGGAAAATTCCCAAAATATGCAAAACATAGTCAGCGGACGATTGTTTTGATCATTTGTTATTTTTTGGTTGGAGTATTTTTGGGGTATCTTTATTGCGAAGGCCTTACGGCCGGTGCCGCCGACCCTGAAGGGGAACGACGACGGCGGCGGCGGCGGTAGCGACGACGACGATGCTGACGTGGGTTGAGTCCTCAAACGTGCTTCTTGGGGTTTCTTCCGAGCGCTCTCGGGGGCCTCTGGGGGGATGTTTGAGGGCCTCTTGGGAGCCTCTTGGGGCCTCTTTGGGCTTCCTGGGGGCCTCTTGGGGGCTTCTCGGGGCTGAGGGCTCGAAATGTCCGTTCGGGTCCCCCGTCTGGGCACTCTCTTGGAACCGTCTTGGGGGCCTCTTGTGCCGTCTTGGAGGCGTCTTGGGCCGTCTTGGGGCACTCTTGGGCCGTCTGGGGACTCTCTTGGAGGCCTCTCGGGCCGTCTCGGGGGCGACCTTGGGGGCCTCTTGGGCCGTCTTGGCGCGTGGGGAAGCGGAAGAGGCGAGAACGCCAAAATTCTTGAAAAACGCATGGGAGATCCATGATTTTTGCCTCTTGGGGCTCTCGTGGGAACGGTCCTGGAGGTCTCTTGGGGCGTCTCGCAGGCCTCTTGGGCCGTCTGGAGGCCGTCAAGGCGTCTTGGACAGATCATTCGGCGATTCGGGGCCCTCTTGGATCGTCTTGGGGGCCTCTTGGGGCACTCTTGGCCCGTCTTGGGGCTTTTTTGGGCTCCGGGATTCCCCGGGGGGGCGGGGTAAAAACCCGGGACCCCCGGGACCCACCCCGGGACCCCCCCCCCCCGGGCTGGGAAGGGATCAAAGGGAAGGGGCTTCCCTTCGACTCAATTACGACGTTGCTCAATTTCGCTTTGGACTGGCACGCTTCAGGAGGAGGCCCTGGGAGAGGGGTAGAAGCAAAGACGCTGTGGGGAAAGGGGAAGGAACGACGACGACGACGACGACGACGACGACGACGACGAAGAGGGAACAGACGGAGAAGCCTCTTCCACACGCCGACAGGGTCGGCGGATTTGTTCGGCCAAAGTCCATCTGTAGGGGGACACGCCCGACCTAAAGCCAGGCGAAAGCGCCCGGCGTGAAAACCAACCGACGCCAAGATCTGACGGGAGTCGGGGAGACGACCAGGCGCCGGCGCGTCGGCGCGTCAGGGCGTGCATTTTTTGTTCGCCTGCAGCTTGGCATTGCTCGGACGTGTACATTTTTCCGTCGGCGAGGAACATCGAGGAGCATCCTTGATCATTTGGCGAACAATCCACGCACGAAACTGAAAAAAGCACAGGGAATGGACGTCCGAGCGATGGCGAGACAGTCGGTATCGTCTAACCAATCCCCATCCCCATCCCCATCCCCTTTCGAGACCCCCACCAAGTTACAGCTCCACTTGGGGGGATACACCCTTCGAGACCCGAAGGGAACGGCCTACAGCCCCATCTAGGGGGCTTAAATCGGCCAGTGGGGCCCCCAGGCCACGCCGCTGGGGATCGGTTCAGCGATACTCATGCAGTCGGGCCGAGGTACAGGATCGAGGTCGGTTCGGGGAGGGCGCCCCAGAGTTCTTCGCGCGTGGTGGATGCCTGGCAGCGCCCGCGGGTGCGCCCTGGCCTCGGCCCAGTCTGCTGCCTCGGCTGGCCGCTGGGGCGTGCTCTTCGCGGACCTCTTCCACGCCTGAGCGCTTCCCTCCCCTCCTTCCTCGCCTTCTCTTTCCTCCTCGTCTTCTTCTTCTTTCCTCCCCCTCCTTCCTCGTCTTCTTCTTTTTCTTCTTCTTCGTCTTCTTCTTCGTTCCTTCCTCGTCTTTTTCTTCCCTCCCCCCCTTCCTCGTCCTCTTGCCTCCCTCCTGCACTCCAGACAGTGCGCAGCTCGGGTGGCCCGCTTCGCCTCGCGCTATGGTGCGGACCGCCGCTGCCTCGCCGCCGACGACGACGGTGTGTTGGAGGCTCTTTGTGCTTCCTGCGGGGGGGGGCACCCTCGGATGTTCTGGCCGTCTGGGTCGACGGAGGGGCGCTCATGCTCTCAAAGGGTGTGCTTCTGGCCCAGGTCCGCCTGTACACGCTGGGCCCGGTCGCACGGGCTTAGGACGAGGATAAGTCCTTTCTGGAGCGAAGACAGTGTGTTGGATGCTCTTGTGCATCCTGGGGGGGGGGGCACCCTCGGAGGTCCCGGTTGTCTGGGCCGACGGAGGGGCTCGTGCTCTCAACTTGGCATCGCGCGGACGTGTACATTTTTTCCTTCGGCGAGGACCATCGGGGAGGGCTACCCTTGTGGGGGGCTACCCTCGGAAGTTCTGGCCGTCTGGGCCGACGGAGGGGCTCATGCTCTCAAAGGGTGTGCTTCTGGCCCAGGTCCGCCTGTACACGCTGGGCCCGGCAGCACGGGCTTTAGGACGAGAGGACGAGGATAAATCCTTTCCGGAGCGTTGGATGCCCTTGTGCATCCTGTGGGGGGGGCACCCCCGGATGTTCCGGTCGTCTGGGCCGACGGAGGGGCTCATGTTCTTAACTTGGCATCGCTCGGACGTGTGCATTTTCCTTCGGCGAGGACCATCGACCCTCGGAAGTTCTGGTTGTCTCGGCCGACGGAGGGGCTCGTGTTCCTAACTTGGCATCGCTCGGACGTGTGCATGTTTTCCTTCGGCGGGGACCATGGAGGAGCATCCTTGATCATTGGGCGAGAAAAAGCCACGCACGAAACTGAAAGAAGCACAGGGGATGGACGTCCGAGCGATGGCCAGTTAATGTGCTTCTGGCCCAGGTCTGACTGTACACACTGGGCCCGGTCGCACGGGCTTAGGACGAGGATAAGTCCTTCCTGGAGCGTTCCCGAACGCTCTCAGAGCGTCCCGGACGCGGCGCCCGATGCATCATCATCCGACGCCGCTGGGTCCCAGAGATTCTCGATCTATCCTCACCCGATGTGATCCTCGTCTTGGTCTCGTCCTGCCCCCGCGCGGGCCCCGGAAGTCCCAACCCTTTCCTTGGGAGCGGCTTGTCATCCCGAGTCATTTTGTTGACGATCCCATTGGGCGCGGCGAGGGCCCCAGGAGGCCGGAAACGACAAACATCTCCTTGTCGTGATCCTGCTTACGACGCGATCGTGTCTCTCTGGCATCGCTCGGACGTGTGCATCTTTTCTCGGCAGCGACCATCCAGGATTATTCGAGGTCATCTTGCGGAGGACATGCACGCACGGAACCGAGCAATGCACGGGCAATGGACGTCGGAGCGATGGCGAGGTCCGGGTCAGGACGTCCTGCACCTCTTCGCCTACACGCTGGGCCAGGGCGTGGCCAGCACGCTGAAGCGCGGCGAGCGTGAGCCGTTGGGGCCCATGGTGGACGCGCACGGCCTGCTGGCCGCGGTCCTGGGGCGAGATGTGGAGGACCCCTCCCCCCACTAAAGAAAGTCCTTCTTGGGCCCCCTCGTCTCTCGTCCTGCTCGTCCCTCGTCCTCCTCCTCCTCCTTCTCATCCTCCTCCTCCTCCTCCTCCTCCTCCTCATCATCATCATCATTCTCCTCGTCCTCCCTCTCCCTCTACGCCTCCTCCTCCTCCTCCTCCTCCTCCTCCTCTCCTCTCTCGTCTCTCTCTCTTCTCCTCCTCCTCCTCTCTCCTCCTCCTCCTCCTCCTCCTCCTCCTCCTCCTCCCTCCTCCTCTCCTCCTCTCCTCCTCCTCCTCCTCCTCCTCCTCCTCCTCCTCCTCCTCCTCCTCCTCCTCCTCCTCCTCCTCCTCCTCCTCCTCCTCCTCCTCTCCTCCTCCCTCTCCTCCTCTCCTCCTCCCTCCTCTCCTCCTCCTCCTCCTCCTCCTCCTCCTCCTCCTCCTCTTCCTCTCCTCCTCCTCCCTCCCTCCCTCCTCCTCCTCCTCCTCCTCCTCCTCCTCCTCCTCCTCCTCCTCCTCCTCCCTCCTCCCTCCTCCTCCTCCTCCTCCTCCTCCTCCTCCTCCTCCTCCTCCTCCTCCTCCTCCTCCTCCTCCTCCTCCTCCTCCTCCTCCTCCTCCTCCTCCTCCTCCTCTCTCCTCCTCCTCCTCCTCCTCCTCCTCCTCCTCCTCCTCCTCCTCCTCCTCCTCCTCCTCCTCCTCCTCCTCCTCCTCCTCCTCCTCCTCCTCTCCTCCTCCTCCTCCTCCTCCTCCTCCTCCTCCTCCTCTCCTCCTCCTCCTCCTCCTCCTCCTCCTCCTCCTCCTCCTCCTCCTCCTCCTCCTCCTCCCCTCCTCCTCCTCCTCCTCCTCCTCCCCTCCTCCTCCTCCTCCTCCTCCTCCTCCTCCTCCTCCCCTCCTCCTCCTCCTCCTCCTCCTCCTCCTCCTCCTCCTCCTCCTCCTCCTCCTCTCCTCATCCTCCTCCTTCTCCTGTTTCATCTTTCCTCTCTCCCACCCTCGTTGGGCCTGTACCCCGCTCCTCCAGGGTTCTGCTCAAACAATTCTAGATTTGATCACCCGGGAGAATTTCGGGCACCAGGAAAGCATCGAAACTGGAGGATTTTCCTTTTTCGGGCCCTGGGAGCCGATACTCGTTCGGCACTTCGCCAGCGTGTCGGGCAGACACTGCTTCGATACTATCCTGGGTGCTCGAAATTATTTCTTGGATGTGGTCCTTAGGAACGGTGGAAACAACAGCAGAACTCTGGGGACAGTTTTACATCCCGGATCCGTTAGCGATCCACCCGGGGCCCGATAGCGGGGCACGCAGGCCGAAACCGACGAGAAACAGCAGGATGAAACAATCATACCGTTGGACATTTCCTGGTCAGATTTGAGTTTCAGGTCATGCGTTGGACGTCCGAGCGATGCCCAGATTTGAGTTTCGGGTCGTGCATCCGGGCTCCGGCGGCCATTCGGAGCGAGTCGGGCACCCCGCGGACGCGGTCGACGAGGCGCAGCTGCTGGGAGGCATCCCGAGGCGAGAAGATCACCGGGCACCAACTATATGTGGGAAAAAACAGTCTGTGGGACAAAAAAAAACACACTGTGGGAAAACACTCACAAAAAACACACACACACACAGTGGGAAAAAAAAACACAAACACACAGTGTGCTTTTTCCCCACAGACTGTGCTTTTTCCCACGTAAGCATCCCGAGGCGAGAAGATCACCAGGCACCAACTATCTGGGGAGGAGGGTAGTCAGTACCGTTTGACCACCCCCATCCCCATCCTCATCCCTTTCGAGACCCCCACCAAACTATCACCCCGGTTGGGGATACACCCCTCGAGGCCCGAAGGGACCGGCCTATAACCCCATCTAGGGGGCTGAATCGGCCAGTGGGGTCCAGGCCACGCCGCTGGGGATGGGGATCGGTTAAGCGACACTCAGGTTATGTCGGGCCTGACCCCCTGCAGGGGGATTTTCGACGAAACATAAAAAATACACCAAAAATGTTCAAAAAAAGCTAAACAAAATTAACAGATAGTCCCCAGACTATTTTCGGACTAGTTTTTGAATCTGTTTGGGGTATTTTTTATTTTTCGTCGAAAATCCCCCTGTAGGGGGACAGGCCCGACTGAATACTCAGGTAGGGGGTAGGGCGGAGTGATGGGAGGAGGAGCAGCACGGACAAAGAGGGGTGAGGGGAGGACGAGGAGGAGAAGGAAGAAGAGGAGGACGAGGAGGAAACGAGGAGGAGGAGAAGCAGGAGAGAGAGGAGGAGGAGGAGGAGAGCGAGAGGTCACCTGCCCCTTGTCATCATTCGGACGGGTGCCTTTCTTCTCGGCGAGGCCAGCGCCAGACAAGCTGGATCGTGCAGGGACATCTAGGATTAAGTCAGGCCTGTCCCCCTACATGGGGATTTTTTGACGAAAGGTACAACATACCCCAAACATAATCAAAGAATCGCCCAAACATAGGTCTGAGGACTTTTTTGGCGTATTTGTTTTGTTTTGCCTTTTTGGGGCATGTTTGAGATATGTTTTATTGTTCGTCGAAAATCCCCCTGTAGGGGGACACGCCCGACATAAACCTAGGAGGAATTTGCGGAAACTCCTGAAACTCACTGCAGCGTTGGTACTGCTTGATTCGCCCGCCTTGTCAGAGCCTCCCCGCTGTGTACTTCATGCCCTCCTCCTTCTCACAACTGAGACGCTGGATCGGCATGCATTTTGCACCTGGGTGTCAGATTTTGCGTGCAGTGCCATCTTGTAGCAAAAAACGGAAACATGAAACAAGCACGAAATCGAAAAGTGTTCGTTTTTGCTTGCACTGAAGGAGTCCTAGGGGACATCGAAGGATTTGGCGACAGTTTCCCGCCGATTTTGGTAGCCAGCTGGGTTCCCGGGTTTCCGGTTCCAGGTTCCTGGTTATTGGTTCCAGGCCGATTTCGGTGGGCTCGGGGTTCCCAGTTTCCCCGTCGATCTCCTTATCGATCTCTTTATCGATCCCATGTCAAACCATCCGCTGATTGGGTTTTTCTCTGGTGTAATCGAGGATCATTTTGCGGAACCAGAAAAAACCTGGAAACCGACAAGTGATCGTTTTCTTATTCATTGTTTTGCCGATCGGCGCGGGCCCGCGCATCCCCCCTCCTCCTCCTCCTCCTCCTGGGGTAGACCTCTGGCCGCTTTGGGCCCCTGTTTCGAGCAGGCGGAGTCTCCCCCATAGGACGCACGGCTGCAGCAATTCAGTCGCATTGCGTAATCAGAGGCCTGGAGCCGGGCCCCTCCTCCCCCTTAATCCCCCCCTTCCCCCCACCCGCCTGGTCCGCCCAATGTCGAAGAACGCCGAATTCAAAAAGTGTGACCCCACTCCCTCCCCCCCCCCGTCCCCACCCGCCTGGTCCGCCCCATGTCGAAGAACGCCGAATGCAAAGCAAGTGCCACCCAAATGCACGGGGAATGGACGTCCGAGGCCTGGAGCCAGACCCCCACTCCCTCCCCCCCCTCTTCCCCCCCCCGTCCGCCCAGTGTCGAGAAACGCCGAATTTAAGCAAGTGTCACCCAAATGCATGGGGCATGGACGTCCGAGGCCTGGAGCCAGACCCCCTCCCTCCCCCCCTCTTCCCCCCCCCCCGTCCGCCCAGTGTCGAGAAACGCCGATTGAAGCAGGTGCCACCCAACTGCACGGGGCACTGGGATGACCGTGGGGGTTCCTAAGTGGATCGGGGGGTTACAAGCGGACGCCAAGGTGGGTTATCTCTGGCCCAACCTGGCTTATAAGTGGGTTACAAGTGCCCTAAGTAGCTTAGGAGGGGTCGATAACTCGGCTAAGTGGGTGGGCGGAGCCCACCTAGCCCAGATCGTTAACCCCCCTAAGCTACTTAGGGCACTTGTAACCCACTTATAAGCCAGGTTGGGCCAGATATAACCCACCTTGGCGTCCGCTTGTAACCCCCCGATCCACTTAGGAACCCCCACGGTCATCCCAGCATGGACGTCCGAGCGATCGCGAGGCCCGCAGCGCCCGAGATCCGGGCTCCTTCGCCGCAGGACCCCGCCGCCTCGTGGCCCTCCGTGGCCCGCCGCTTCCTGGGGCTCCGGCTGTGCCCGGAGGAGGCCCTCGGCAACTGGGCGCGGAGGCCGCTGCGGCGGTCGCAGCTGCACCACGCCGCCGCGGAGGCCGGGGTCCTCAGTCAGAGGAGGGAGCCAGTGGATCCGAGGGTAACTCGGGGGTGGACAGAACCCCCAACAGTGACACGTCGATTAGTGAATTGTCCGTTTTCGGTTCTCGAGAGGGCGCCGTGGCCGTTATTTTCCAGGCTTGCGCCCGCCAGGTTTGGGCCTCAGGTCGTTTTCACTAAACTACGTTTTACTCAAGGGGGGTCTGTCCATCCCCGGGTAACCGAGCGCGGGTGATAATATTGTACCCCCCCTTCATGATTTGTTCATACCGCTGACCCCCAGAAGTCTCGACCCGTTCCCCGGGACCGGGCTTTCATCCCGAGCCGTTTCTGGATGGTCCCAGGGCCCGGCGAGGGCCCCCAGAGGCCGGAAGCGGCCAGGAGACCTGGCTCGGATCATAAGCCAGATCCCTTCGGGTCATGAAAGAAGCACCCCTCCACCTCCATCTCCTATAATGGAGGATGACGATTAATAAATGACCGGGGGTCGTGTTCACGCGGCGGCGCCCGGGATGACGATTAGAAAAAACCGGCCGCGGGTTGGAAAATCAGTTTTTTCTCTCTAAAAAATCGTTCTCCTCCAGTCAGAAAATTGTGCAGAAATCGCAGGGAACTATTTTTTTATCGTTCTATCCAATTGTTTCATTAACCGTCATCCCGCATTACCTTCCGACCTCTGCGTGAGGCGCGGAAGGTGATGCATTGTAGCCATTGAAAGCTGCAGGAAGCGCAAGACAACCCAGCGTTTCACGAAGCGCATGGGTGTGGAAGCTCAGCGCGGAAGGTCTGGAAGAAAGAGGGCGAGGGCCCACCGGCCGAAATCGAGGAAAGACGCCAGGATTGAGAAACAGGTGCTGCCGCAGATCGGGTGTTCGGATCCTGGTGCCCCACCAAACCACCCCAACCCAACCCGAAGCCCTCAATTTGCCTTCCATGTCCAGTGGGGGCCCCCCTCCCCCCCCCCTGGAGTAGATCTTGGCTCTTTTTTGGCGCCGGTTCCAGGCGGGTGGGGTCTCCCCCAGGGGCCGCAGTCTTGCAAACAGTCGCACTGAGCAGAGGCCTGGAGCCAGACCCCCCCCCCTCTCCCACCCCCCCTTCCGCCCAATGTCGAAACGCCGAATAATAAAAACGCTCACCAGCAGAAGCTCTCGAGGGGATCCGGGAGAGAGTGCTTCCTATACTGTTCCGGGCAAGCCTCCCCCCGGGCTCAACTTGCGGGGGGGGATTGATCGCCCCCCCTCCCGCCCCCCCGGGTTCACTCCTCGAATCAGGGAGGGGGGATCGGGGCCAGCTTCCCCTCCCGGTTGGGACCGAGGGGGTGGGGCGAAGGGAATTATGCACGTGCACCGATCCTGGCAATGCCCGTCCTTGACCCAGGATCGGTGCATATACCTTCCTGGCCAAGGTCGGATGGCGCATGCACCGATCCGGGGCTCAGGATGGGCCTGCATGGCCAGAATCGGTGCATGTGCATAGTTCTCTTTCCTCTGGGGGGGGGGCGGACAAAGCGCAAACGGTGCTCACAAACAAAGCCCTAACGAAGATCAAACAGAGCCCGAGCAGATGTGCACGGTTTTCTCCGCCTAACTCAAGCTTCGCGCGGCCCGCTTAGCTTCGACCGGAAGAGGTGCGCTCTCGACCCGCGGATCAAAAAGTGTGGGGGTGCACGGCGTCGCCCTTCTCGCGCAGGTGCCCGCCCATCCCCCCCGGGCACCCACGGGGGGGCCTCTGGGGCCGCCCAGGGCTGCCGGGCGATGACGATGACGATGACGATGACGATGCTGATGTTGCTGATGAGAATGATGACGATGATGATGATGTTGATGATGACGATGATGTACCGATGATGATGATGATGATGATGATGATGATGATGATGATGATGATGATGATGATGATGATGATGATGATGATGATGATGATGATGATGATGATGATGATGATGGTGTGGTGGTGGTGGTGGTGATGAAGATGAGGAGGATGAGGATGATGCTGATGCTGATGATGATGTCGTTGATGGTGGTGGTGGCGATGCTGATAATGGTGGTGGTGGTGATGATTATGGTGAAGATGCTGTTGCTGATGATGATGACGACGATGATAATGATGAAGCTGGTGCTGATGCTGATGCTGCTGTTGATGATCATGCTGATGCTGAGGCTGATGATGTTGATGAAAATTTGGTCATGATGATTATCATGTTTTTGGTGATGATGCTGATGCTGATGATGATGATGATGATGATGATGATGATGATGATGATGGTGGTGGTGATGACGACGGCGACGACGACGATTATGATGATGACGACGACGATGATGATGATGATGATGATGGTGGTTGTGATGCCGATGGTGATGGTGATGATGAGGATGGTGATGATGATGATGATGATGATGATGATGATGATGATGATGATGATGATGATAGTGATGGTGAGGATGGCGGCGGCGGCGGTGGTGGTGATGCTGATGATGATAGTGATGATGATGATGATGATGATGATGATGATGATGATGATGATGATGATGATAATGACGCCACATAAATGAGCGCAGGTTTCTTTTGAAGTCCCGCCAGCGTGGCAGGCGTCTCCGGTGGTTGTGATATATGCTCTCCCTACCTTAACCTTCTCTCATCACAGAGTGAAGGCTGCATTTGATGTCCCACTTGCCCGCCCGACTGACCGCTCCATGACAGAGTGAATCGTATATTTAATGCCCCGCCCGCCCGAAAGGCGTCACCGATGGTTGTGGTATATTTCCCCCCATGTGCTCTCCCATCACCGAATGAAGGTTGCATGTGATGTCCCGCCCGTCGCCATCGTCGTCGCCGTCGCCGTTTCCGTCGTCGTCGTCGGCGCAAGCTCGAACAAAGTTCAAACAAAGTTCAACTACTGTTCAGACAAAGAAGACTTAGCTCAAACAAAGCCCAAGCAAAGCTCCAGCAAAGCTCAACCAAAGCTCAACCAAGCTCAAACAACGTTCAAACAAAACTCAAACAGAGCTTCAACAAAGCTCAAACAGAGCTCATACAACGCTCAGTCAATTTTGTTATACAGCTCCAACAAAGCTCCAACAAAGCTCAAACGAAGCTCACGCAATGTCCGAAATAAGCTCAAATAAGCATCAAACAACGCTCAAACAAAACTCAAACGAAGGCTTACACAAAGCTTAATCACGGGGCAAACAGAACTCAAACAAATCTCGCAATGTTCCCGCAAAGCTGAAAAAAACTCAACGAGAGCGCGCTCACACAAGGCCCAACACGCGCTTCAACACAGACCCTAACGAGGCCCAAGCATCGGTTCGAAGTCAGGGCGGGATGGGGATCGCCCCCCGGTCCTCTCCGGCTCAAGCCCGGGGGGGAGCGTTTCGGCTCGAACATGGATGGGGGGGAGCCTGTGCCCCCCACCCCGCCCCAGGAAATGGAGGATGAGGAGGAGGAGGAGGAAGAGGAGGAGGAGGAGGAGGAGGAGGAGGAGGAGGAGAAAAGAGGAGAAGCAGGAGGAGGAGGAGGAGGAGGAGGAGGAGGAGGAGAAGGAAGAAGAGGGGTCGCCTAAGCCCCTCGATTCGAACCGGGGGTGGGTGGGCTCTGTGTACCCCCCCCCAGCTCCTTCGGTTTCCCGGCAGGGCGGCCCCCCCCCCCCCCCCCCTCGGGGATCCCCACCGACGGTTCGAACCGGGGCGGGGGAGGGGGGGGGGCTCCTGGGCCCCTCCCCCCTCCCCCGCCCCCCTGGCTTCCGGGCAGGGAGGATGTCCCCACGTTTCCTCTACGTGGCCTCTTCGGGGGGGCCTCGCCTGTCCCCCAGAGTTGGTGCCTTTCCTTGTGCCCGACGAGGGCTCGATACGGACTCGACGCGGATTTGGCGTGGATTCGACGCGGATTCGACACAGGTTCGACACGAGTCCGACAAGTCCGACGTGGATTCGACACGGATTCGGCGAGAATAGGGAGGGCCGCGCCGGGACAGACAAGGTCCCCCTGGGATGCAACATATTTTCCCCCCTCGGTTCCCGGGGACGGGAAGGGACATGTTACAACCATCCTTGGTTTCCCGGAAGGGGGGGGACGTGGGGAATTTTTCCAGTGAAGAGACGGTAGATCGCGTTCCTTCGGATTTGTGGATGACCTTGATGTCGCAAAACACGCGTCATCGTGGCAAAACTTGCCCATAGCCCTGGACCCTATCCCTTTCTGCTGCATCTTTTTTGGCCGGATCGATCCATGAGGGGATCGGGGCCTGAACTGAGCAAACTCGCCAGGTCCAAGAACTCAACAAGGATGCACATCCGAAGATCTCGGGAGGATGTGTGAAGAAGATTGGGGTGAGGCGGCATCGGGAAGACAGGGTCGCCCATCATCCAATCGATTCCGATTCGGGTCGGTTCGATTCGATTTGGTTCGATCTAGACTTTGATTCAGGTCGATCCAAAGACCCCGGGAGGATCTTGGGAGGAGATGGGGGGTGAGGCGGGACAGCATTGGTTGGCAACGGCATGTTCAGGAAAGCCTGCGCGCGCGCACTTGCTAAATTCTTACGACAACCATCGGGTTTTCAAAGTCTACATACAATTCAACACAAAGGGCCTCTCGCGCCGCATTTCGAGATCATTCGAAGGCCCTCTCGCACGTGCTTGGCGGGGGCGGGGGCGTGGGGCCTGCTAGATAAGACCAGGCGGGCCAGTCGCGCGCAGAGGGGAGGATCTTGGGAGGAGATGGGATCTTGGGCGGAGGGTCCCGAGAGGGCCCCTCCCGCGTACGCTCAGGTCGCCTTCCGAAGCGCAGCGCTGGGAGCATCTGGGCGGGGGCCTTTGGAGGCCGTGCTGCACTCTGCGTCCCCTCCGGGCCCCGGGAGGGGGCCGAGGAGGCGAGAGGCTTTCCTCTTGTTCGCCTTCTAGCGGGCCTCTTGGGCGATCCGTCTGCTCGCAGGCCTCAGTCCTTCCCTACTGCGCCCACCTGGGTCGAAAGTCTAACGTGTAGGCCTCCGCGCCGAAGTCGGTGCAAGCATTGTCAAGGCCTGACGGCCGGGACCGCCGACCATGAAAGTCATCGACGACGACCGGGAGGGGCAGGAGGAGGAGAAAGGAGGAGGAGGAGGAGGAGGAGGAGGAGGACTACGACGTGGGTCGATGTCCCTCAAGCCCCGGACTCCTTCCCCCGACGACGGGAGAGTGCTCTCTCCCTCCCGACGGGGAGGGTAAACAGAACAGGCGCCCCGTCGACGGACCCCTCACGCACGCCGAGGGGGGCGGATTTGCATTGCAGTTTCTGCTTCCCCGTCGCCCGAGCGCCACGATCGCAGATCCGACCCCGTGCCCGCAGAGCGCCGAGGCCTGGACGCAGCTCCCGGTGCTGCGGGCCGTGTGCGCCTTCGGCATCGCCCCGCCCGAGCTGGTGAGGGGCCACTTCTGCGCCCGGGCGGCCCGGGCGCCGAGAAAGAAGGAGGGCACTGTCGGGAGCCTTGATCGACTGGACGTAGGAGTGACCTTTCGCCGGAGTGGCCTTTGGTGCGGGCACAGATGGGCCCCCAGATGGCCGAACGCGAAGCGGTAGTAGCGGCTAGCGCGCCTGGAGTTGGCCTCCCCGCGGCCCCCCCCCAAAAGCCGCGCACCAATTACTCAGGGTCACTCTTACGTGTAGCCGACTTGAGGCGGGGGTCGGTGCAAACGGGGGCCAGCCAGAACGCCGGATCCTGCGGGATCCTGCAGGGCCAGGATCGCATTGACCCGGGCTTGGGCGCAGGATCCTGCATGATCCTGCAGGACCCTTCGCATTGACCCGGGCTTGGGCGCAGGATCTTGCAGGATCCTGCAAGGGCACTGCATCTACCGCCCGGATATCTGGAGGAGGACACGTTACCGATACCCGAAGAAGAAAAAACACAAAACATCAATTTTTGGCGCTCCGAGCGGATTTCGTGGATCCGCGATCCCTCCACCTCCATCTTCCATACCTTCCGACCTCTGCAGAAGGCGCGGAAGGTGATGGAAGAGGAGGAGGAGGCGGAGGAGGAGGAGGAGGAGGAGGAGGAGGAGGAGGAGGAGGAGCAGGAGGAGCAGGAGCAGGAGCAGGAGGGGGAGGAGGAGGAGCAGGAGGATGAGGAGGAGCAGGAGGAGGACAAGGAGCAGGAGGAGGACGAGGACCCTCGAGGGGCATCCTGGATCGCCCTGCTAGAACATGCCCCCCCCCCCCCCCGAGCTGGCCCCATGGCGGCGTTCGGGTCACACCTCGGGCCCCCGGCGGCCGCACCATGACCCGAAAGCCAACCGAGCGGCCGGAGGGCCGCCGCGAACCGACGAAGACAGCGCCCGAGCATTTGTGAACCTTTACGGTAGGTTCGCGTCGTGTCGACCAGCGGCGACCCCGCCGCCGACGTTCAACGTTGAACGCCGACGGCGGCCCAGAATCGGTCGATGTTGAACGATCGGACGTTGCGGAGACGGCCGATCGTTCAAGGTTGAACGATCCAGCGCGGTGTCGGGAACCAACGCCGGGGTCGACACGACACGAACCTGCAGTACAGGGCCGAAAATCGAGCCCGAGCCTCGCCCCGGGTGCGTTGTGGCCAGGACCTTGAGGCGGATCCCGTGGTGGCGACGGGAAGTCCTCCAAGAGGCCCAGCCTGCCTCGAAGCTCGCCCCGACCCTTTACAGGGCCGAAAATCGAGCCCGAGCCTCTCCCCGGGTGCGTTGTGGCCAGGACCTTGAGGCGGATCCCGTCGTGGCGACGGGAAGTCCCCCAAGAGGCCCAGCCTGCCTCGAAGCTCGCCCCGACTCGAGAGAGCTGGAAGCTCGAAGGCCGACGGCTCTCGCGTCCCCCTCCGTGATCCGCATCGTCTGGTAACTCGGGCCTCTGGCGGCCACTCGGGACGTTCCGGGCACCCCCGGGACGCTTTCGGCGAGGCGCAACAGCTGGAAGGCACCACGAGGTTGGAAAGTTGCGGAGAACCAGCGAAGACGCCCGAAAACCTCGAAGCTCGAACCTTCGAGCCTGTCGGAGGAGGAGGAGGAGGAGGAAGAGGAGGAGGAGGAGGAGGAGAGACACCGACGTCCCTCGACAGCGTTCTTCCTCCTGGAGGCTTCTCGTCGCCACGGCCGGATCCGCCTCGAAACAACGAGGCGGGTTTTGGCAGCGCGCACAAGGGGGCAGAGGGGACGGGGGAAGGCTTCTTAGAAGCATCCTTGCTTCTTAGCGGGCGCGGGCCCTTTCTGCAGGTGTAGGGCTGGCGGCCGGCGCCCTCCAATCAGCAGCCTCCTTCCAAGAAGCCGTTCCCCCGTTCGCGCTAGGCGGCGGCGAGGAAGCGGAGGAGGCGTGGCAGCCTGAAGCGCGAGCATGTCCACTGTGCGGAGGAGGAGGAGGAAGGAGGAGGAGGAGGAGGAGGAGGAGAGAGGGAGGAGGAGGAGGAGGAGGAGGAGGAGGAAGGAGAGAGGAGGAGGAGGACGAGGAGGAGGGGAGGAGGACGCAAGCTGGGGGGGAACCAACGAGAACACACCCGAAGACCTCGAGCCTCGCTCCTCGGAACCTCCGGCCGGCCCCAGGTGAAGGCGCGGGCCACCGCCGGGCGCGCCAGGGGCCAGCGCATGCACGTGGTCGGGCAGCTGGCGCCCCCCGGGCGCCTGGCTGGCACCGACGGCGGGGAGGCCCGCGTGGCGGCGTCGACGGAACCCCAGTCGTCTCGACGGAACTCTTCCTCCTCCTTCTCCTCCTCCTCCTCCTCCTCCTCGCCTCCTCTCCTCCTCCTCCCCCTCCTCCTCCTCCTCCTCCTCCTCCTCCTCCTCCTCCTCCTCCTCCTCCTCCTCCTCCTCCTCCTCCTCCTCCTCCTCCTCCTCCTCCTCCTCCTCCACCACCTCCTCCCCCTCCTCCTTCTGGGACTGTCACGACTCAGGATGAAGGGAATTCGTCTTGGGGGAAAGCCCCACAGTGCAGGACCTGTTTCCCTCAGGACCCCGCTTGTCCATGCGAATGAAGCAGTGGCGAACCGTTCCAACTTGCTCACAGGCACCCAAATAATGTCCGAACGAGAACCTTTCTGGCTAAGACTGTCTTGGTTTAGTGCACCGCGCTTACGTCCTAAGAGCATTGCACAGGAATGCCGGACGGCCGGTCCCTGCCCAAAGAACGGCGGCGGCGGCGCCGCCGCTGAGGACCCCCAGCATCGAGGATCGGCCTTGAGACGCCAAGGTTCGAGGCGATTTCGGTTCGATGTTCGAGGTCTTCGGGGGTTTTCGTGGGTCCCCGGCGGCCTTCGAACCTCGGAGGGCTTACCTGAAACTGGGCCTCGCCGAAGGCGTCCCAGAGATCCGATGTCGTGATTTTTTCAATACGGGGTCCCCAGGAACTTTGTGGGCCCCGGAAACGGCAGGGCCGTTTTTTCACCGTTTCCAAAATTATCCCAGCAAAGCAAACTAACAGCGATGTGTAGGAGCATATCTGGAAGCATTCCCCTTAAGATTCACATGAGAATCCAGTTGTAGAATTCTTCTGTTCTCGCAGTCGCAGTCGCATTCGCGATGACAGTCGCAGTGGCCACGGCAGTCGCAGTCACAGCCTCAGCCTCAGCCTGCCTCAGCCTCAGCCTGCCTCAGCCTCAGCCTCAGCCTCAACTTGCCTCAGCCTCAGCCTCAGCCTGCTTCAGCCTCAGCCTCAGTCTGCCTTCAGCCTCGGCCTCAGCCTCAGCCTGCCTCAGCCTCAGCCTGCATCAGCCTGAGCCTGAGCCTCAGCCTGCCTCAACATCAGCCTGCTTCAGCCTCAGCCTCAGCCTCAGCCTCGGCCTCAGCCTCAGCCTCAGCCTCAGCCTGCTTCAGCCTCAGCCTCAGTCTGCCTTCAGCCTCGGCCTCAGCCTCAGCCTGCCTCAGCCTCAGTCTGCCTTCAGCCTCAGTCTGAGCCTCAGCCTGCCTCAGCATCAGCCTGCTTCAGCCTCAGCCTCAGCCTGCCTCAGCCTCAGCCTCTCAGCCTCAGCCTCAGTCTGCCTTCAGCCTCGGCCTCAGCCTCAGCCTGCAGCCTCAGCCTCATCAGCCTCAGCCTGCCTCAGCATCAGCCTGCATCAGCCTCAGCCTCAGCCTGCCTCAGCCTCAGCCTGCTCAGCCTCAGCCTCAGCTGCTTCAGCCTCGGCCTCAGCCTCAGCCTCAGCCTCAGCCTGCATCAGCATCAGCCTGCCTCAGCATCAGCCTCAGCCTCAGCCTGCCTCAGCCTCAGCCTCAGCCTGCTTCAGCCTCAGCCTCAGTCTGCCTTCAGCCGGCCAGCCTCAGCCTGCCTCAGCCTCAGCCTGCATCAGCCTCAGCCTCAGCCTCAGCCTGCCTCAACATCAGCCTGCTTCAGCCTCAGCCTCAGCCTGCCTCAGCCTCAGCCTCAGCCTCAGCCTGCTTCAGCCTCAGCCTCAGTCTGCCTTCAGCCTCGGCCTCAGCCTCAGCCTGCCTCAGCCTCAGCCTGCCTCAGCCTCAGCCTCAGCCTGCCTCAGCATTCAACATGTGGCCCGGGTATGGAGTTCTGGGAACTCGAAGAACACGAAGTGGCCTGCCGTTGGCTCCAGGCATTCAAAATCATGCCCAGGAATGGAGTTCTGGGAGCTCGCAGACCACGCAGTGGCCTACAGTTGGCTCCGGGCATTCAAAATCATGCCCAGGAGTAGAGTTCTGGGAACTCGAAGATCACGAAGTGGCCTACAGTTGGCTCCGAGCATTCAAAATCGTTCCCAGGAATGGAGTTATGGGGATTCGAAGACCACGAGGTGGCCTAGAGTTGGCTCCGGGCATTCAAAATCCTGCCCAGGAATGGGATTCTGAAACTCGAAGACCACGAGGTGGCCTACAGTTGGCTCCGAGCATTCAAAATCATGCCCAGGCATGGAGTTCTGGGGACTCGAAGACCACGAAGTGGCCTACAGTTGGCTCCGGGCATTCAAAATCATGCCCAGGAATGGAGTTCTGGGACCTCGAAGACCACGAAGTGTGTAACTGTTTGCTTAAACCGACTTCCGCGGCTTCTCCCCAGCACCCGCCCAGACCCCCCTGGGGAGTCAAGATGCTTTCTTTCTTTTGATACTACTAGCAACTTCTCAGTCTGTCAGGTAAAAATGTCCCTTGAAAGTGGAAACGGCAAAAAACAGCGACCAGAAACGGCAAAAAAACGGCTCCCGGATTGGAAGCCGGAACCGGTCAAAAATCGGCGACGGAACCGGTAAAAAAACGGAACCGGTAAAAAAACGGCCTTGTCGTTTCCAGGGCCCACTAAGCCCCAGAAGTCTCGGCCCATTCCCCAGGACCAGTTTTTCATCCTGAGTCTTTTTTTTCGACGGTCCCGAGCTCCGGCGAGGGCGCCTGGGGGCCGAAATTTGCGAGAAACCTAAGTCTTGTTTCGGGCCGGACGAAAGGGGGGGATTGGGAAAGGGGGAGGTACGACATTTGTTGCATGCAGCTGGTTTCGGCCTCACCGAGGGGTCCATTCCTCGATACATAGCCGGGAAAATCAGCTACGTGAGCTGATTCTCAACCCCCCCCTTTATCCCCCCCTTTCGCCCGACCCGATTGTTTTCTTCCAGACGTTGGATCTCTGGGGTTCCGTCTGTGCCAGGATCGCCCCGGACGGCCACAGGAGAGCCGAGTCATGACCCGCAAAAATTTTAGGGGTCAGGCCGACCCTGAGATTCAGGACTCCGCCGACGCCAGGGACACCGAGTGTCGAGGCTTTCGGCAGCATTTCCTAGGAACTTCTGGTGTCCTTGGAGTCCCGTCTTGAGAATGTACTATAGCCTGCGCCAGCGTCTTTAAATTAAGTGAAACAATGAGCGAATGCCGATGCAGCGCCGATCAGCACCGGTTCGGCGTCGCGTAGCGCCGATTTAGCATCAAAGTGGTGTCGATTGACGTCGATTAGCGTTGGCTCGCGTCGGTTAGCGTCGGTTATGCCCGAGGATCGGACCTGAGAGCCTGGCGCCGCAAATATGTCGCGCCTGGCGATGCTGCCTCGCTTCGGGCTCTGGGGCCTGCACGGCCTCACAGACGGATCCGGCTTGGCAACTGGCGCAGAAAGACGGAGTTCGGGGCTCCAGCCCCCCGACGTCGTGATTTCACAACGTGGATCTTCGGATGCCTCGGCCCACTATTCTGGGGCCGGTTTTCCTTCCTAAGCTGTTCTTCGACGGTCCCTGGGTTCTGCGAAGGCCTGCAGGCCGAAGACTGGCGAAGACCTGCCTTCGTGATTTGTTCAAGGCCTGGGGGCGGTGGCCGAGTTTCTGTGCGATGCGTTGTTTCATGTGGTGACGTTGGACCTCAGGGTCGAGGCGGCGTTGCCGCCGCCGCTGAAATCGCCGAGGATCGAGGGTCGTTCCAGAAGTTCGAGTAGGGGAACCTCCTCGATGTTCCCTTAATTACTCGTCGAGTAGGGGAACATCCTCGAGTAGGGGAACATCCTCGATGGGCCCCCTCGAAAAGGCCAATGATTTACCCCAACATGGAAGTGTTCATCGGGCTCTTCGTCCGCGCATTGCTGACCCTATGCTGCTGCTCTCGCCAGCGGCCGGCGTGCACTGCACGGCGTTGCCCCTCTTTGTTTCTGTCCTCGAAGTCATAGGCCTGATCTTGGCTCAATTCGTCGCGTTCGGAGGCGTGCGCTCTGCGCCGTGCCACTCTGGCCAGGCGTCCGTGCAACGCGGTCATGCCCTGCTGGGTGGCGCGGGAGCCAGCGCTCCAGAGGAGGCTTGCGAAGCTTCGGGGGAAAGAGGAAGCAGACAAAGCAGCACTTTCTCGTCGGATCTACACAGGGTGCCGAAGATTCGCAGCTCTCTAAGGGCTTGTCCACGTGTTATTTCTGCAGGCCATGGACGGCCACGTCAGGTCTGGGGATTTTAATAGCTCCTGTAGTCGACCTCCTTTCAGAGCCCCAAATCATGAGGGGTAACTCGGGTCAGGGCTAAGATTTCGCAAGAGCTCGCGTGTAAGCTTTTTTAGCAACTCAGTGTTGCGAAACCCTGTGTTTTTGTATGTTTTTTTGAAACTCGATTGCGAAATCCTTCCGGCACCGACGGTTTTTGAAGGATTTCGGCATGCGCGCGCGACGACGCGCGCGTGCGCACTTCGTCCCATTGTTTGCAAGGGATTCGCGAACAAGTCTTATGTTAGAGCAAAAAATGTCCCCGCGCATTGTTTTTGTCACAAGGGAACCACAGGGGGCCGATCCTGGCCCCCCGGGGATACTGTAAACTCGCATTTCGGATGGACATGTGGTCAGAGTCATATATGGCTTACATAGCCGAAAGGGGGGGCGATAACGCCGGGGAGGGGGGGGGTAGAGTCTCTTCTCTTTTTATAAAGGAGAATTAATGTATGTTCGCAGTGACTTGTCCGCTCCACTGCTCGCGCAAACATCCCACCCACCCACCCACCCGCAACTTGGTTTGCAAAATCTCTTAAGACCGTTACGGTGGGTACCAAATGGCACTTGGCAACGACAGCGCCGACGACGACGACAGCGACAACGACGACGACGACGACGCCGCCGACAACGACTACGACGACACCGACGACGTCTCCAACGACTTCGACGACGCCAACGACGACGACGACGACGACGACGACGACGGCACCGACGACGACGCCGCCGACGACGACGACGACGACGGCGGCGACGACGCCGACGTCGACGACGACGAAGACGACGACGACGCCGACGACAACGACGAAGACGACGACGACGTCGCCAACGAAGACGACGACGAGGGAGGAGGGAGGACGACGACGGCGACAATGACGACAACGACGACAACGACGAAAGAAGAGGAAGGACGGCGACGACGACGACGACGACAACAACGAGGGAGGAGGGAAGACGACGACGACGACAACGACGACGACGACGACGACGAAATAGGAGGGACGACGACGAGACGCCGACGACGGACGACGACGACGACGACGACGACGAGGGAGGAGGAGGAAGGACGACCACGGCGACAGCGACGACGGAATCGACCACGACGCCAAAGAGGACGACGACGACGAACACGAGGAAAGACAGAGGACGACGTAGGCGACGACGACGACGCCAACGCGGGGGGAGGGAGGACGGCGTTGACGACGACGGCGACGCAAGAGCGCGCGCGCACGCTTTTGTTGAAAATCCGTGTTGCGAAACCTTATGTTTTTGTAGTTTTTTGGGGCACGCGATGTTGAAATCCTTCCGAAGCCGATGGGTTTTGAAGGATTTTGGCATACGCGCGCGACGACGCGCGCGTCTGCACTTCGTCCCATTTGTTGCGGAAGATTCTCGCGACGGCACACGCGCAAGGGCGTTCGACAGATTTCGACTTGCGCGCGCGCGAAGCCCGTTGGGTAGCACGTTGCGAAATCATTGAAAAGACTATGGGTTTCATCAGATTTCGCAAGAGCTCGCGCGTAAGCTTTTTTTAGCAAATCAGTGTTGCGAAACTCCTGTGTCAGATGTTCTTTTGAAACTCGATTGCGGAATCCTTCCGACACCGAAGGTTTTTGAAGGATTTCGGCATGCGCGCGACGACGCGCGCGTGTGCACTTCGTCCCATTTGTTGCAAGGGATTCACGAAAAAACTTATGTTAGAACAAAACAGGTCCCCGCGTATTGGTTTTGTACAAGGGAACCTCAGGGGGACCGATCCCGGCCCCCCTGGGATTGTCATGTGGTCACGCCGGGGGGGACATGTGGTCACGCCGGGGGGGGGGGAGGTATAGCCTATTCTCTTTCTAGAAAGGAGAATCTACGCGGCGAAATTTACTCAGCCGAACTTGGAAATGTCAACATCGCTGCTCGCGCAATCATCCTACCCACCCACCCGCAGCCTGGTTTGCAAAAGCCATGCGGCGGTGATTGCGAGAACTGCTTGGCGCTGACCGACGCATCGCTGCGGCCGCGCGAGCGCGCGCAGATTCGCGCGCAGAGCGGCCAGCTACTCTGGCGCGACCGACGCGGCCGCGGCGGCGCTGACCGCTGGAGACTTCCTCGCGCGTATTGCAGGTCGCGCTGGCGCGCGGGCTCTTCAGCTCGAGTCCGTGACTCGGGCGGGCGGGATAATCGGCCGACGTCGACAATTGATGGCGCGATGATGATAGTAGAGGTGCTGGTGATGACGATGGCGACGACGATTGCGTGGCCAATGACGGCGCCGATGCTGATTACGCCGGTGATGGTGATGATGCTGGAGATGATGGTGATGCGATCTACGTGCCGGTTGTGAAGGTTTTGAAATGATTCTTGGATGCTCGCCTGAGAGGCCCACCCATATGATTTTCATTGCATTTCAAATGATGCGAAGTTTTATGGATCCGCAAGAGCCCGCACGCGCAGATTTTTTTGGAGAGCTTGTTGCTAGAGCAGCGCTCCTTCATGTTATGGACAACGCGTACTGTAATCTTTTCAGAGCCGAAGGTATAGACAACGTGTGCGCGTGCACGTTGCCCATGGTTTGGCAAGGGATTATTACGAATTGAAGATTTGTGAGAAGCGAGTGCGCGCATAGTACCCTTAGATCGAATGAGGGGGGGCGGTACTGGTCTGGCTGGGATGGTATGTGTATATCTTTGGAATCAACGATGGGGCAAACTCATACAAAAATTTCACACCTCCACGGTGCACAGGTAATTTGTTTAGAAGGGTAGGTCTTGAGTTCTGCTCGGACCTGGAAAGTCATGTTCTGTAATGTAGAATGGGGGTGCGGCCACGGCGGCGACATGGCGGCCAGAGCGGCGCGCACGCGGCGTCTATTGGGCGGCGACGAGGCGACGACGGTGCGACGACGGCGGCCACATGGCGGCCAGAATGCCACATCGACCCAGACGACGGGCGGCGACGAGGCGGCGACGGTGGTTACATTGCCGCCGGACCGCCACGCAGGCCAAATTCTTTTTGTTTAACCAGCTAGAACTTCTGAGTGCAAACGTTGTTTGGGGAATCTGCGTAAATAGTGTAAGCCAGCACCACTAATCAATATCAGGACATCAACGCTACGCAGCAACAACATACATCAACTGCTTACACCAATGTTTGACATCATGGTCATACCGCAGCAACACACACACACCAGCAACCACCGTCGAGATCAGACATCAGCTACATCTATTGACAAGGCCCAGCAGCTGGGACACACAAGTGAAGGCAGCAAGTATTGAAACGAATAACGCACGTCAATATCATGCACCCACACATACCTCACGAACAGGACAGAAATAATACACACCGACACATGCCGTCCATATCGTGCACGGATATCCGCGCCAATCACGCAGGCGAGAACGCACTCATAACACACAACATCATCTCACACCAGCAGTTCTATGATGGGAACAGCGTGCATCAGCAACGCGCAATCGAGCGAACGTGCATGCATGACATGACCAGCTACATAACACCATACATACGCCACATATCTAACACACGTGCACAAGCTACACATGAACGAGCAGGCACACACCAAGAATCCAAATCATGTTTGACGACCATATCAGTGGTGCTGTAGTATATCGCACGGTTAGTCCACCAGGCCTGTTTCGGACTGGTGTTAGACCGGTTTCAAAGCGTTTGTGTGGTTTCTGCGTTTCTTATTCTGCGACGGAGTATGGCGGCAGAAACGAAAAAGTGGGAGCGAAGACAGCAGGGCGGACAAGGAACAGCCTTCGACCAGAAAGCAAAAGACATTAAACAAAAGATAATCCACAGCGACGGGCCTAAAGACGCTAAAACATTGAGCTAACAACGCTGAAATATCGTCGCGTTGGTTTAACGCGTTTAGCTTGTCAAGAGCCCTGAGTGCACAACGCTAAAACAATCGCCCAGCTCGCAGCTGCAGGAGCGCATCCTGAGGCAGGAACACCTCCAAAAACTGGCGAGCACATGGGAAAACCTTGAGATCCGACGTCATGAATAAATTGCAGCATCGCCAACAACATTCGACCAGAGCCTTGGACTCAATCTTTCTGCTGCATCTCTCGAGGCAGATCGATCCGTGAGGACCCCGGGGCCCGTTGTGAAAACATCGCGACGTTTGGTTCTCAGGGTCGGCCCAAGCCCCTGCGGTTTTCGGCTCTCCAGCGACCGTTTGGCACGATTCGGGGCAACCCCCGGAACGCCCTCGGCGAGGCGCAGGTGCACCCCGAGGCTGGAAAGCCGCCGCGAAGCGACGGAAACGTCCTCGTGGTCCGAGGTCGCCGCCGACGCCGCGCGCCGCCGCCCCGCGAGAGGTGCCCACCGTGCAGTCCCTGGCCGCGGACCGCGCCGCCGCCGCCGACCCCGTGGCGGCGCCGCTTCCGCCGCCGACGCGCATCGCGACCCTCACCGCGCCCGCGGCGCCGCCGCAGGAGGACCTCCCCGCCGGAGGCACGACGGCGACCTCGGAGGATCGAGGACGACCGCACGACGGCGACCTCGGACTTTGAGGCTCGAGGATCGAGGTGCCTGGGTTTGCTCGTCGGTTCTCGGCTGTCCGTGCAGCCTCGGGATGCCTCCCCGCGGCCGGTCGCCGCAAGACCCCCTGATGCCTGCGGGCCGCAGCCCCCGACCCAGGCCGAGGGGGAAGGGTTAAGTCGGGCGTGTCCACCTACACGGGGATTTTCGATGAAAATTAGAACAAATACACCAAACATACGCCAAGAAGGTCAAACAATAGTTTTAAAATGGCCCCCAGACTATTGTTGGACCATGTTTGGATTATTTGTGGTGTATTATATATATACATACATATACTTATATATGTATATGTATATGTGTGTATGTATGTATGTATGTATGTATGTATGTATGTATGTATGTATGTAGGTATGTAGGTATGTAGGTATGTAGGTATGTAGGTATGTAGGTATGTAGGTATGTAGGTATGTATGTATATGTGTATGTATGTATGTATGTATTTATGTATGTATGTATGTACGTATGTATGTATGTATGTGTGTGTATGTTTGTATGTATGTATGTATGTATGTGTGGGTATGTATGTATTGTGTGTATGTATGTATGTATGTATGTATGTATGTGTATATGTATGTATGCATGTATGCATGCATGTATGTATGTGTATGTATGGATGTATGTAATGTGTGTATGTGTGCATGTATGTATGTATGTATGTATGTATGTATGTGTATGTATGTATGTGTATGTTTGTGTGTATGTATGTATGTCTGTACGTATGTATGTATGTATGTATGTATGTATGTGTGTATGTATACATGTATGTATGTATGTATGTATGTATGTATGTATGTATGTATGTATGTATGTATGTATGTATGTATGTATGTATGTATGTATGTATGTGTGTATGTGTGTGTATGTGTGTATGTGTGTATGTGTGTATGTGTGTATGTGTGTATGTGTGTATGTACGTACGTACGCACGCACGCACGCACGCACGTACGTATGTATGTATTTATGTATGTATGTATGTATGTATGTATGTATGCATGTATGTATGCATGCATGTATTTATGTATGTATGTATGTATGTATGTATGCATGCATGCATGCATGCATGTATGTATGTATGTATGGATGTATGTATGTATGTATGTATGCATGTATGTATGTATGTTTATATATACACATTTTTTTCGCCGAAAATCCCCGTGTAGGGGGACAGGCCCGACTTAAGGGAAGGGGGGAAGCGAGTGCCGCTGCTGACCGCTCGAGAGGCGCCCCCGGCCGCCCTCGCGCTGCCGGGCCGCGGGCGCAGCCCATATAGGCAGGGAGGCGGAGGAGGAGAAGGAGCAGCAGCAGCAGCAGGAGGAGGCGGAGGGGGAGGCGGAGGAGGAGGAGGAGGCGGAGGAGGAGGAGGAGGAGGAGGAGGAGGAGGCGAAGGAGGAGACGGAGGAGGAGGCGGGGAGGAGGCGGAGGAGGAGAAGGAGAAGGAGGAGGAGAGAGGTGGAGGAGGAGGGCGGAGGGGAGGCGGAGGCGGAGGAGAGGAGGAGCGGAGGAGGAGAAGGAGGAGGAGGAGGAGAGGGAGGAGCAGCAGCAGCAGCGAAGGAGGAGGAGGAGCGGAGGAGGAGGAAGACCAGGAGGAGGAGGCGGAGGAGGAGGAGGAAGACCAGGAGGAGGAGGAGGAGGAGGAGGCGGAGGAGGAGGAGGAGGAGGAAGACCGGGAAGAGGAGGCGGAGGAGGAGGAGGACCAGCAGCAGCAGCACTCAAGCCAATGGAGTCCCGTCTGGGGATCCACATGAAGAGAGAAGCTTGGCTCTGGCTGGGGCCGCTAACGCCTTGTTTAACCCCCTGTCGACATTTCGCCATGGAGGCAAGTGCGGAGGGCAACGCAGTGATGGGGAGGAGGGAGGAGGGACCACCAGTGCAGACCAAAGGCGTATCAACGATGTCGCAACAAGCCCTCCCTCGAATTTCCCTCTTCGT